AACGGCTGCTGCGCATCCGAATACGTCAACTTCCCCCACCTTTGGATGGCCCTGCTGGTCCTGCGGCTCCTCTGCGCCACTCTCAGTCAGGGATGGGGTTCGAGCTGCTCGTTTGTCTGACGGACGGCCGTGGCAAGGGGGCGATAGTCATCCCCAAACGGGCCAGGCTTTAGGAATCCATACGCCTACCGCAACCTGTCGGCGGAGCGACTTTGTAGCAAACGATGCGTGAGAGGCGATGCAGCACCGCCTGCGCTTGCCGCCCGGGCACGCATAAGGTGTGCCATTGGGGCCGGGCGCGGAGTCCTTGGTATTGAGAAGCATCTTAGTCATGACATCAGCGTCCCGCAGCGTCGATCGGCGACTGACGCAGGCAGCAGGGTGTAGGTGCTTCCTCCCAAAAAGAACGGTCTGCTATCGCAGTTCCGCAGAGGCCCGACGCCAATTTGATGGGACCCTGATACATGGCGGTTTTAGGACAGATGGAGCGAAGAGGCGATCCCAGAAGCGAACCCAACTGGCTTCATGGCGGCGCAGGGATTCACTGACCACAACCGCCACTCAAGGGCGCTTGACACGGCTCATGGGCCTTGCAGCCGTTGAAAGGCGCCGTGGACGAGCTGCTGGAATGGGAACAGAGTTGCCGTGTCCCCTTTCGCCCTTCGCCATGAACCGCTCTGAGGGCTGCCCAGCGCGGCCGATGCGAGGCATCTCGCGCCTGGGAAGGACAGCTGGTGGCCAGTCCCTCAAGTAGCCGGTTGCCTTGGGCAGTGTCGCGGGCCCTGAATGGAGACTCCGCTTTGAAGCACTTCTTCTGCACGGCAGGCTGCAGGCCAGGTAGCCTTGTGTTTCTTGCTCCTGATGTTGGCTGTTGCTCTCATGTGTTGTGAATGTTCGCTGGCAACCGCAACTTGAATAATCCATCACAAGCGCCTCATGCAGGACCAAAACATCAATTGGTGTTGCAGTCTTAATGACAAAGGCATTCAACTTCTGGGAGATTGTGGGTGTTCTTTGTGTGACATTAAAGAGGTGCCCAAACAGCCGGGGCTGACTGTTTGCCCAGTTAAGAGCGATTGACTTTGATGAATGTGGTCCATGTGCCTTGCTCAATCAAACCAGTTGGGGGATGGTCAAACGGGGACCCCACAAAGGGCGGATACCATCCTTGGGCGCTATTTGGCAGAGTCTTTAAGCTCCCAGATCTAACACCGCTCCGTCCGCAGATTCGGGGATGTGACACCAAGTCTTGACCCTCCCAACTTCATCTAACAGGATGCCACAACTTGCTTCGCCTGGGGCGACCTCCTGCAAATTCCAGGAACTGAGCCGAGAATCGACGACGATCTGGAGCGAAGAGTTGGCACCCGAATGTTCCGCATCACCTGTTGCGTTGACATTCGTCCCGCTTCATGTCAGGTGACTCGTTGACTTCGCACAACGAACTGCAGCCTCTGACATTGCACCTTGCGAACTTCAGGCAAGCCTACCATCGCTCACCATGAGTCCCCATCCAGCCTTTGAAATGGTTGGACCAACCTCAGCTCGCTGGCTCAGAACAAGCGAGCAAAAGAACATAGGTCTTTCCCCAACATATACTCCTTGCAGAGTCGCTCGGGGAATGCGCAAAGAGCGGGAGGCCTGCCTGCGAGGTTACATGCGTCCCATGTCAATGTCACCAGGATCTGGAGTCAGACGCCAGGCCAAACCCAGATGCCGTTGCCTCAATGTGCTGCTGGCAGATTCCACGGCGTCCCAGAAGCCTGACCTCAATAGTGCCATGTTCTGTCTTTTGGCAGCTCACCCTTGCTTGCACCCTCGGTCGCCTAGAATCTCAGGCATTCGAATCATACCCCTCTGCTAGTCTGATTGAATGCAAGGCCCGTCCAGGGAAGCATGAAGCAGCTAGAACTTTTGCGAGCCTCATACGTGCCTATCTGACTGAACCGCTCTGCCCATGAATGCCCCGCGCGCCTGTTTGATGCCGTCGACGGTGCTGCAGACACGTCTCTTTCACCAGGGGGCGGACCTGCAGCAGGCCAAGCCCTGCGTGCGATTGTAACTGTCACCCCCAAACAAAAACAAAAAACAAAAAAGGACGCCGTGATGACAACGGGTGGACTTCCAGCCTTGACTCTTCAACATTTCTTCGTCATGAATGACTAATTCGAATCGTGACATGCAAACAGTGGGCGATAAACATAAACCATGAATGCTTTGGACAGAACAGCTTCCCTTCACCGCTCCAAGGTTGAGGCTGCTTTGAGAGAACTCGTCGAAGTTCTCGTCGCCTTGGAGAAACCGGATGGGAGAAAAAAAAGAAAAGAAAACGCCTTGAAACCGCTCTCAACTTGTCAGCCAAGCAGCCAGGCTCGTCAAGGTGGCCTTGGTAGCCGCGGCGACTTGCAGCCAAAGGTTCAGAGAAAAGCTGCTTGGATTTGGCGTCCGAGCGGCCAAGTTTGACGAGGCCCGCCAAGGCTATCCTGTACGCCTTTGCACCCTGGACAGGTTGCGGCCTCCCTGCCTGTGGCTTGGTCAATGCCTGTCAAGCCGCCTCAAGGATCGCACCCCAGTTCCTAAGACCCTTGAGCCTTTTTCCATGGCTTGTCCTAGGACCATTTCCTTTGTACCCTGCCAGGCAAGGCACCAAGCGTTGGCCACAGCCACGCAACTGCCAAACAGGGCGGTTTGGAACTCCCGAGCTTCCACACTGTGGGTCAAAAACAGGGGAACCCCAAAATGGAAACCTCATAAACCGATCCAAGGGCTCAAACCTGTGGTCTGGTGGTTTCTTCCGCCCGAACAGGGGCTGACTTTTGGCATCCCGCCTTGCTGCTGGTCAGCTCGGGGGGGGCAATGCTGGCCAGCTGCTGGAAGCCTTCCAGCGCGCTGGGCCGACTGTCCGGTTCCTTCGAGAGCCTCAGCAGAACCACACCAAGGAAAGGCCTCAACTCATGGGGCCTGGGGGGGGAGGAAGGGCTGGGTGGGGGGGGGGAGCCCCAAAAACTTACCTGATTTCACTGAACTCTTGTCTTTCCACTCATGAGTAAAGTCTGCCAATTGTTTCATTCGCCTTTGCCTGTGATTATATTGGGACCGCGTATTAGGTTATGAACCTTGGATCTGGAAACTTTGAATTGAAACATTGTTCACGGCTGCACCTCTATACTTACCCAATGGTCGTGAACCGTCTTATATTTCGGTTTGACATCCTTGTTACATATTGAACATGTTGCTATGTTTAATGGTCATTGTTCGTACGTATCAATTTGCTTGTTTCTTGGATTCTGACAAACATTTCATGTTTTAGTACCGATAGCTGTGTCAAGTGTTCAACAAACATGTCTATCTTGTCTAAACAGTTTTTCCATGACATAAATGGGTATGTGCCGACGTATGGTTGACACGCATGATCAATAATTACCACATGTTACAACATTAAACAGAAACCGCATTGTGTACGTGCCTGGTAAGTTATCCTGGGTTTGTTCGTAGGATTTCGCTGGACGCATGCCTGTTGAACTTTCACCCTGCAAACGTGGAGGGCCATGCAACACGACGCTCTCAAGCCACGAGGCATTCGTTTCGTTAGGTCCACGAAGCTCTCAGACAAATTGCGATCATCTGACGGGTAGTTCACCTGAGCGAGGTCATTGCGAGGCGCTTTCGCGAGGCTGTCAGCTCAAAGAGAAACGAGCCCCACAAAAAGCTGCCAGTCGTACATCAACTTCCCAATGGGCGGGGCTCGAAGCTTGGGCTCTGGCCTCGCAGGCTCGAGTCTTGTTGAGCATGTCTTCATGGCTCTCCCCCCAGAAGGGCAAGGTGCGGTAGAGCATGAAGTATGTCAAGACCCCAGTCGCAAAAACATCCACCTCGGCTTTTTGGTGAAGCGGCGTGCTTGGGACTCATCCAGGTTTGTTCCGGGCCACCGATTGATTGTAGCGCCGAGGATTCGTTGCAATGACCTCCGGCGCCGCGTAGCCCGGGGAGCCGACTGGCTTCACCATCTCCTGAAATCCAATTTGGTTCATTTGATTGGAGAAGCACTGGCTCTCCAGTCCTCCGCATCATCGACATAGGCAGAAATGCCGAAGTCCTAAGGCTACTAACCGAGTCTTTCACCACAAAGCAGGAGCCAGGAGCTTCGTGGTGTTAGTTTCTTGCGAGAGCCAGCATACTTTGCCTACCTTGCCGCCGCACGTGCGCCCATTTTGACTCATGCTCCTGGCACGGGTTCCTGCCAAGCGTCAATCAAAACCGCGTGCTGCCTTTGCAAGACTACGTTCTCCTTGGATCAAATGCGCCGCTCGGGGGTCTGCCACCAACCTCAAGCCTTGACGGTGTTCGTTTTTGGCTCCTTTACTGACTTCGAAATGCCGCCATGGTGCTTGCGTGGTGAACCAAGGCCAAGGGCAAAACACAAGCACACATACACACAAAGAATAAAACACACACACACACACACACACACACACACGCACAAACGCACAAACGCACAAACGCACAAACGCACAAACGCACAAACGCACAAACGCACAAACGCACAAACAAACAAACAAACAAACAAAGAAAGAAAGAAAGAAAGAAAGAAAGAAAGAAAGAAAGAAAGAAAGAAAGAAAGAAAGAAAGAAAGAAAGAAAGAAAAGAAACACACAAACAAACAAACAAACAAACAAACAAACAAACAAACAAACAAACAAACAAACAAACAAACAAACAAAACAACCAACCAACCAACCAACCAACCAGCCAAACAAACAAAACAAAGCAAAGCAAAACAAAACAAAACAAACAAACAAACAAACAAACCAGCACACTTGTGCCTGCCAGCCAAGGATATCATGGAAATCCTTCGGATCAATGAGAGTCTGGAAGAGAACGGTGGACCAAGGAGACACGGTGCCCGGAACGTGGGCCAGTGCGAATGAGACAATGCGAGATGCCGCCCCAACCGTTCTTCTGTTTTGGAAGGATGTAAGCTTGAGGAAGTCGACGCATACTGCCCACGGGTGCCGTGCTTGGAAACGGACGAATGTGGCATCCAGCGGCGGTCTGTAAGTTCAGGGCGCGCAAACTTGAGCTTTGCGTCCGTGTCGCCCCCGCACTGACGAACGTTGGAAAACATAGAGAGCCCGCTGAACCTGAGAGTGGTTGAACAAACCATGAACATGTTCTCGAAGAACTGCCCGCTCAAGGCGAGTTGTTGGAACGGGCCCGCTTCGAACTGCAAGGACTGTCGGCGGCCGGCGCCTCACATCCCACAGGCACTTTGTATGACACGTTGGGTTCGTCATGGCTCTTGAACCAGAAACAAAATGGCGCGATTGAAGAGGATGTCTATGGACCGAGGGACATGAAAATGCGCCGCTGAAGCAAGAGCCCGCTTGGCTTGAAAGTTGCAACTATTCAAAGCCAGCCAATCGACGGCAAAAAGGGGGGGCTGGAGTCGGGCCTGTATCGAGGTACGTAACACTTCTGGAAGGAGGTGTGTAAAGAGGTCTTGCGCAGAGAGAGGCGTTCTCTTCAGGCCGCTGCTTCAACTTTTCTGCTGAGTTCAGCGAAAGCATGCTCTGCAAAAGTATGCTCTGCAGGAACCATGGGAAATCACTCAGCGTCTGGGCATGCATCGGGGTATGCAACATGCAGCCAGCTAGGCTGCTTTGTTCACGCGAAGTGTGAAACGAAGGTATGTAACGAGGGGTGTGTAACGAGCCAGCGGGTCTTGTGACAAAGGTGTCACGAATGTCCGTGGCAGCTCTGTTGCAGACCCCTGAAAGACATCACTGCCATATGGCGATCCCAGCCCGCACCGCCATGTTGGACAGGCTGCGGGAATACACCCGTAGGCGCACTGTCACCGGCATCGCAACGGCAACACTGCAAAATAGTTTGAAAAGGGCACATAGGTTCAAAAACAAGAATGAGGTCCCACATGGTGGTTATCCATGGGCCCGTGCCCCAGCGCGCACACGCAAACGACACACAAACACAAACACAAACACAAACACAGAGACACACACACGCAGACACACAACACAGACACATAGACACATAGACACATAGACACGTAGACACGTAGACACACACAGACACACAGACACAGAGACACAGAGACACAGAGACACAGAGACACAGAGACACAGAGACACAGAGACACAGAGACACAGAGACACAGAGACACAGAGACACAGAGACACAGAGACACAGAGACACAGAGACACAGAGACACACAGAGACACAGAGACACAGAGACACAGAGACACAGAGACACAGAGACACAGAGACACAGAGACACAGAGACACAGAGACACAGAGACACAGAGACACAGAGACACAGAGACACAGAGACACAGAGACACAGAGACACAGAGACACAGAGACACAGAGACACAGAGACACAGAGACACAGAGACACAGAGACACAGAGACACAGAGACACAGAGACACAGAGACACAGAGACACAGAGACACAGAGACACAGAGACACAGAGACACAGAGACACAGAGACACAGAGACACAGAGACACAGAGACACAGAGACACAGAGACACAGAGACACAGAGACACAGAGACACAGAGACACAGAGACACAGAGACACAGAGACACAGAGACACAGAGACACAGAGACACAGAGACACAGAGACACAGAGACACAGAGACACAGAGACACAGACACACAGACACATAGACACAGACACACAGACACACAGACACACAGACACACAAACACACACACAAGCGCAAACACGGCAAAACACACAAAAACAGTCAAACACTCACCCGCATACAAGTCGACAAAGTCCAAAGCTCTTTGTTGCGTCCAATGGGTGCTCGGCCGAGCCTTGAGTTTTAGTCAGGGGGCAGCTTTGACATCTCGATGCACAATGCCTAGGGCATGCAGATGTGCCAGCGCCGAGAATAGGGAAAATACCACCTCCATCACTTTGTCTTGCGGCATCTGTGTGTCCTGCGCCAGGTGTCAGCTACCTTTCAACTGTGCTCAAGACATACGCTATCTTGTTGGTATTCCTTCCAATATGGCTGAGCTATTCACCATGCACGAGTGACCAGTCAGCCAGACCCTAGGATTTAGATCCTCATCATGTACGACGCGCTGATTATTGAATTCATAGATGCGTAGCTAGAATGCAGATCCTCAACATTAATCATAGGCAGTGAATCCGCAGGCTAAGCCCAGCACGCGCACCATATCGAACAAATCCCCACCGGTGCAGTGTTCCAAAACCAGAAGCCATATGACCTCAAGGCGTTCTGGGAAACGGAAGGAGATGTGCTTTCTTGGCCCCGATACCATGGCCTCTTGTATAGCTGATGGCCTTGCGTTTTAATATGTGTTTTGGAGGAAAGCGCTGGACAACAAGTTCTTCTCCAACCTACGACTCCCGTGAAGTTGCACGCTGTGAGCCCGTGGCAGGACTCTTCTTGCGCGGCGCCTCGCAATATACGCCTGACAACGGCTTCAATGGAAGTTGACCAACAGGTGCGACCAAAAGGTCCTTTACACGGGGCCATCGGGGAAATGACTTCCTCACTGGTCATTTAGGGGCCGAGCGGAAGATTAGCCTCAAAAGATCGTCTGGTTGATGTTTTTCAAGGAAGCGGAGGCTGGATCTACCTCAAGCCACAACTCGCCCTGCTCTTTCAGCGCAGGCGTCTTAATAGCCTCTAAACAACCCCCGCGAGCAAATGGACTCGCCTTGCAGGGCAGAAATGTTGGGATGGCCGGCTGCAGCCTGAAGAAAGTTGACCTCTCGACCTCCGCAAGGCCAGCTAAAGTGACGCCAAGTGGATTTGGCTAAGGTCTATCCGCAAAGCTGCTAAGTGACACCAAAGTACTGGTCCAAATGAAGCTGTGCCGACAAGCAGCGGACGAAAGCACTGTTGGGCTTGTCCCAAATCTTGATAGCCAACCTTCCCAGGTTGTGAACCTTCTGCATGTCGAGCACCTACATGCAATACTGCGCAAGCATCGCAGGAATTGTGCAGTCCGGTGGGAATTCTGGTGCAACTCCATCACAGTCCGAGGTGCATCCCCCTTCTCTCTCATCAGCTTCTTGTGCGGGTCATAGAGTGGCAGCAATGAGACACCACCTACGAAACACCGGCCAAGGAAATGCCCGAAACGCGACCTGCTCCAAAGAAGTGGACCTTGTAACAGCCGTTCACATGTGCCCGAAGCCAAGCAGCTGAAAACGGATCCGTGGGCGCCCTGCCCACAGCACTTGGCAGAGAAATGGCAGCAATCTTTCACGTCCCAGCGAACTGCACCTCGCCTCAGGGGGTTGGAAATGGCGCATTCCCTCGATGCCTCACCTCTCAGAACCTCAAAAACAGATCGGTCGCAGTGTCTTGGGTGAAAGTTTCCGCAGGGCTAGGAATGCAGGCAAGTGAGATGCTGCCTGATGCCTCATGACAAGTGCCAAGCACCTGCTCAAACTCATCATAAAATGATCCACGCTAAAGTCTCCAGTGCCGGCATTCGTGCATAGCAGCCAAACCTCGGGCGTCATCGAAACTTTCGCGCAAGGCCCGAGGACTTCTGGCCCTCTTTTCCCCAAAAGAAAGCGCTCCAACGAGTAAAACAACAATATGCAGCCCGCGTCACTGCAGACATGGATTGAACACGCGGCGCAACAAGCATGACATGCGTGGCATCAGGCTTGGAGAAGCTGAACTTTGGCTGCACCTCGGGCCAAGGCCATGCAAATTGCAGCCTCAAGGCAGGCCAATGATCAGCTCATTTGGGGGAATGTGGCCTGCGCGCACATCACATCCGCCATCAGTATGGGTATGATCTCCAGGGACCCATCATCACCTTCCCATGAGATACCTGCCAGAAGTGTTCGGGGTGCCAGTGAGGTGTCGAGACTGTCACGTGCCCAGCCTGATCTTGTCAGACTCATCTGCTGGCAGTCTGCGTGCTTTTGCAGTCCCGAGTAGGTGCCGTACCTTCCCGACATTGGCTAAAAACTGGAGGACACTACAAAGCTAAATCTAATCTTCCCATTGATTGGTGGTTTGGTGGCTCAGGGGTGGAACCCCATGTACCCTCTACGACAGCAGGGGGTTCAAATCCCCAAACCACGAATCCAAGCCACCAACTGAGGGTTGCCTGAAAACCAAGCGTGGAAAAAAGAAGAATAAAAAAAACAACTAGAGCAAGGCGCGCATGTTTTTCTGTCCAAGGACCCGCCTGGAAGTACTGGGCTCTTTGTCACTCAGGGATTGGCCTGTGGTGACTCGCTTCAACACGTTCTCCAGCTTGGTCCGTCGCATGACGGATTCCTTGGGCAAACTGAGCACGAAAGGCCTCTGAGCAACTCGGTGCAGTGCTTCAAAAGAGGTGAAATTCAAGCTTCGCAGCTCCAGCGGTTGGCATTCCACGCGCTCCTTTCTGCCAAGCAGCATTTTGTGGAGGAGTCCCTTGTGTAACGCCAAGCCTCGCTTCAAGGGCGCAGCTCGCACGCCCATCGACCCATGTTCACCGAGTGGCCATGGTGCCGGCGTCCTGTGGGTCACCTCGCGCTTCCAGTGCTGAGCATCTGTCTTGACCAGCTTTCACACGCACATACCACATACACATAGCGTGCCATCGTCCAGGTGATAAGGGCTAAGTTGCCTTCAAGGTCTAGGGCTCAAGAGGCAATGCTCTAGGGTTAGTGCAGACCCCCGACTCCCCTAGCAAAGAAATTGCCAGCTGCACTATGAAAGCTCGCTCGAACACCGAAGGAGAGCACCCGCGCTCTCTATGGCAAATGCTGCTCGTGGGTGATGCTTGGACATCTGCACGATTCAAAACTGGCATCCAGGTCTTGCCAGGAGGCCTTGCTTGCAAGCCAGGGCAAATGTACTTGGTGAAGCCAGCATTCTACGGCCATTACCTGCAACAGCGCTTGGCCCAACATCCCACAAATGACACGGACCAACGAGGCAGCTCGTGACCAAATGGGACTGAAGATTGTGACATTTGTTTGGACCTCCTCTGTGCCATGATGTACTTGCAATCGAACAGGTGCAAAGGCCGCCGTGGGTCTTTCCTGTTCTGTTCGGTCATGGCTTGCGGCTTCCCCTCTTGTTCCTGGCCTCACCCCCAAACCCCCTCCCCCTTCCCTTGCCGGGCCTGGGCGGCCGAATGACTCGACCCTGTGTCATCCTAAAGAACTCCTCTGAGCCAATGACGGCACGACGGATGCCAAGTTGCCCTGCCATAGTAAACACTGCGCCCCATTGCAGTGCTACTTCTTCAACTCAATCAGAGAAGAGCTTGCCTTCCTCCAAACAGTTCTGGGAATTTAGAGAGAGAGTTCATGCAAAGGCCACTTTGACCAAGCCTCATATTGGCCTCATCCCAAGGATTCCAACTCAGTCCACTCTGCCCGTTCCGACCTCGGTGTGGCCATTACAGGCTGCAAAGTGCAGGGGCGCAAGCCCGTCCTGGCACATCCAGAATTAGCCCCCCCCCCCCCGGTAAGGACACGGTACACTTAGTCTCTCCTCCCTGATGGCTTTTCCGGAAAGATATTGTAACCTAAATGGAAAATGGACAACTACATGCCTGACTGCATCTCATGAGGGATCTGCCGAACACATTGTCTCATGTCTTGCCCGGGAAAACCAGCACGGGCGGTCCACAGTCGTGGCGTTCATGGGGGCGCCCATCTCGCAAAGCCGCTCTGCCGCTGCCCGGTGTCCGCCTCAGCTACAAGGCCGAAGTCGAAGCAATCATCCTCCAAGGTCCATCGTTTCCATCCCAAGCTTCGAAAAGGCATTCTCCATCCGACAGGGAGCCAAGCTCCCCACTGCGCGCGGCCAGGTGCAGTGGCATGAGGGTGTCGTCTGTCTTGCATGTGATGTCAGCCCGGGCCTGACAAATGCGACAAGTCTTCTTAGAAAGCGACATCAATAGAATGGTAGAACAGAATGGCCCGAATCAATCAAATCCTCTCATTGCATGACAAGGCCGACACTGGCCCACGCCTCGCAAAGAACGGAAACCACTTCCACCTGAGAAAATATCGGGCAACCATCGACACGCCCGAATTGCATGCTACATTGACCAGGGTATGGCACCTGTCGCAGGCCGAGCTGCACTTCAAAACGGCCAAAGGGGAGCCTGTGGACTTTTTGCTCAGATGCCCAGTGGCCATCGGAAAAAAAGGGGCATCCTTTTTGGTTGCTTGACTTTAAAGGGCGACCCTTCCCAAGAAAAAGGAAAAAAGGGCACCACTGGGCAGCTGGGTTTGTTTGTGCACCTCCGCCCAAGGCCCACCAATGAAAACAGATTCGTGCTGGACTGGCAAATCTGACCTTGGGCACTGGCGTGACCAGCCTCCGCAGCAAGGTGCAGGGCGGTGACGCCGTCCGCGCGCGGCTGGCAGTGAAGCTTGAAAGCCCCCGTACAAACGTGGATGCGTCCCTGGCTCACAAATGACATCATTCCCTTCTTTTGGCTCCCTTCCACAAAGCCGCCGTGGCCGCAGCAAAGTGCTGTTTTACACCAGGTGCTACTGCACACCTTAAATCTGGGCATGCCACCCGCCAATCAGGGCAGCACATCCTTCTGTACAGCCACTGTTCAAACGTGAGCCGACAGGTCACTTTCAAACCTTGATTGGGCATGTCTTTTTCGAGGGTACCCGTGTTTGTTTGTTTTTTTTTTGGGGGGGGGGGTGGTTGTAAGGAAAAAACAAAACCACCAGTTCGGGGGCATCCCCGAAAAAAAGACACGCCCACTTGGGCAGCCAGAAGCCATGCTGGCGAAGCAGCCGAACGTGCTGCGGAAACTGGCGAGCAAGCCAGGTTCCCAGACCTGCAATCAGAAGACCCGGCACATAGCAACTGCTAAAGGCAGAGGGGGCCAGCATGCCAAGACGTGTGGGGGCGAACCAACGAGGTGCCTTGAGCCAGCCAGCCGCAACTCGCCAAACCGCATTTGCCCAGCGCATCTCAAAGCTTGGACCCGCGAAGGGATGGTAGGATGTACTTCTGCTCCTTGGAGCGGATTTGGCTGCCAAGCAACAAGTCTGACCTTGCACCATGGGCCTTTGAATAGCGCCATGCGCTTGAAGCCCCATTGGAGACGTGATCCGGAGAAGCTCCCACGCATCGCCACTCCCCCATGGGTACTTGAGCAAAGCAATCTTGCAAGCAATCTATCAGGCCCTTGCAGGTGAGGTCTTGCATTGACACCGCCGGCTGCGCCGCAAAGTCTCCTCCAGCATGGCGCGGATGACTTTCTTGTCGATTTTGCCCGTGCTGGTCAGGGGAATGGCATTCCAAACCTTTGCCGGCAATGAGATGTTGACAAAGGTTGGGGCCACAGGCAAGGGGCAATACTGACCCTTGCACACGGATGACAGCGAGTTCGATGCGTCAACTGCCTTTGGAAAGCTACCAGTCAGTGAAGGCGAATGACTAGATGCGCGCATGGGAAAGCCACAAACATTAGACAGAACGTCCGGGCGGCCAGGACGTCATCCGGGAGCTGGAACTTGGCAAAGGTGTGCGCCAAATGCCTTTTTTTTTCTTGTTTTTTTTTTTTTTTTTCTGCGGCCGGGGCCAAAGCCATGGAGAGACTTACATGTAATAAATAGACATACTCCATCATACTCCTGGGTATTCTTGTTGATTTTAAATTCTCGCACATTTTTTTACCAATTATTGTGTTCGTTTGTCTTTTTGGTTGTGGTCCTCCACGTGTCGGGAATATGCCGAACGGTCACACATGTAGGTTATTGACTCACTTCCAGATTCACTTGACATTCACTCCCGGCCCCGTCCAATGTTCAAGCCGAGTCAGAAAACAACGCGTGCTCTTGCCGGCACATTGGCAGGGGAACATTTGCAGTGCGTTCCTGTACTTCAAATCCTCTTCAAATCAACTGCAGTGGCGTGACGCTTGAAAAAGATGGGGCGAGGAAGCCACATGCAACACTGCCGGGCCGCCACACTCAAGCAACATCGCTGCACAGTGTCGCCTTGCCAAAAACTCTCCTCAAAGCAGCCGCAGTTTGCAATGCTGTCAGATTGGGATCGCCCTGACTTGACAAACAAAAGCGGCAGTTGGCGTGTGCTCAGCAGGCGAGTGGTTTTGCTTCTGATCCTGGGAAGTTACGGCTCTCCGGCCCCAGAGAATGATCTGCTTCCTTGATTGTTTGTGTGCCTGTGCAATTTTTGCTTTGCATCTCCGAGTTTCTCGATGCTTGCTTTGTGTGTCTTCTTTGGGGTGTCTCTATGAAGTGGAGCAATTTGTGGCATCCAAGGTACTTGTGCACCCGCTCCAGTAGTTCTTTGTCACCTGCTGCTGGTTCCAAAGTGACCTCAAGCACGCGACAACGTTTCAGTAACATTGGCAACAGCCACAGGCATGTCTTCAGGAGAAAGAAAATCAGAGCAATGAATCCATCCACTGCGTTGCCGCGAGCCGAACTAAGATTCCAGCCACTGCTACCGGCCGCTCGTCCCAGCGCGGATGAGGCACTCCAACCACAGCTGCCATAGCAATGCCGGGCATGGCAGCCACTGCGTTCCTCATGTCACCCCAACCTGCCTCCCATGACTCCCACATAGCGTCACCTGCATGGCTGGCGCCTGGGTGACATGGCTTCACCTGCATGGGTGGGTGGGGTGGGGTGGGGCAGGAAGGTGCCAAGCAGCTCCATGTCAATAGAGGAGATCCACTCGCCACCTCAGTCACGACTGTGGCCCGAGGTACTGATCACACCCGTGCCTGATTTGATGACATCCTTGGAGCGATCACCTGGGATGAAGCAAACGGAAGATCTGCAACTCAGCATCTTGTGCACCCTCTCGGTTCTGGGTGGTCAAGCTACCGGTAAGTGCATCTGCTGGGCTGATGTGAAGCATTGTTCGAGCCCTCCTAAAAGGGCCAACGGGGATGCTGGCAGTCAACTTGCTACGTGGCAACTAATTCTTCAGACGGGCCACTGATGATGATGGCACCCTCCTCATCAATCCTAGCTCTGGGCAGCGGCAAGAGTGCAATCTGCGGTGCTTAGAACACAAAAAACATATTGCCAGCTGAGACTTCAGGAAGGCTTTCATTAAGGCATCTCCGTTTGTGAGTTCTTCCGGCTGGCCCGAAGCAAGCCGGTTTTTGGAGTTTGACTGGTCCTCCCAACGCAAACATGCAAGCAACGCGCCAAAACACCAGCTCTCCCTTTTGGAAAGCTTTGGTAGGTGCAACTTGGCCCCATTGTTTGGGCAAGACTCTTGGCAACGTCCCCGGTGATCAGCCATCCCTGGAAGAATTTGTCAGGCGCCTTCACCTGGGTGCTTCGCATCCCGTCATGTGCCCAAAAAATGCTAAAGGCTAAGCCTGAGACCTGGTAGTACTCGTGGATGATCCACGGGCCCTTGACCAACCTTGGCGGTGCAATGGGCAAAACATCCCAATCAAATTTATTTGCCGGCCGACTCAAGAACCGCTCGGCCATGGAAAGGCTGCGGCAGCAACTTGCTCGCTCCGCTTTACCGTCGCCAACCCAAACGCAGGCCAGTTGTCCTGTGAACCCCTGTTACAATGTCGCGGACCTGTCGACAGCTGCTCTGCTCGTGAATGCTTCCCCTTGTGCGCTTTCTTGGCATAGAAGGGTTGGGATGAAGGTTTCTGGTGTTCTTTGTAGGCACCAGGTGCGTCTAGGCAGCTACCGGAGACCGCTCTTGGGACGGGTTGGGCGAGTGAAATGTCCGTGCAGCGCCAAGCTTTGAACAAAATCCGGGATCCCAACTTGCACACCCGGCCTTGTGTCCTAAACCTCGCCGCCTGAAAGAGAAACCCTAAGAACCGTTTAACGAAACCCGGAAAACAGCATGAACTTCTGAAGATACAACAGAACACGCTGCAAGCATCACCGCCAACATCCGCCAACCACGCTGCCAACATCACTGCGAAGTGGGCATAGCTCATCGCAGGCTTCGTGCTGGCAATGTGGACAGTTGCCTAAGGCCACCCTGCGCACACTCCTGCCCTCTTAGACTGCTTTGTGCGCGGAAGGAATGATAGGAATATCGAACAAAAACTGTGGCCGGTGCAAAATGATTCACCAGATGGGAAAGTCGGTCAAAGTCAGGTGGAACCTCCCCGCAGCCCGCACGGCACATCGCAGTGTTTGCAGGCATCGCCATCAGACTCCAGGGTGGTTCTCTGTGCTTTGGTTTAGATTTTGGGCTCAGTGGGCATTTGATACCTTACAGGAGCTTTGCGAGTGTTAAGGTTTAGGGTGCTTTGAGCGACTTGAGGGCTGATGGCTTTTGAGGCTTTGGGTGTTTAGGGTTGAGTGTTTAGGGTTCTGGGGTTGATTTAGCGCCTCAGATCTCGGAGTTTACGGTTCAGGGTTCGCGGGTTGCATGATTCATGCATTTTACGACGTGCACTCATGGGACCCCAAAAGGCATGCCTTGCTCAGAGGTCCTTAGCCAACCCCAACGGTTCCAAGCCGAGAAGCAGCTCCCCGGCCGCGCCCCTGGCCACGTCCTTGCTGAGGTCATCGCTCTGGGCGATGCGGAACTGCAGTCCTCCGGCAAGTCACGCGGCGCCGGCGCAGAAAATTGGCCAAACTGAAAGTCCGGAAGGAAGAGGCCCAGCATACTTCCGGGCTTGGGAAGTAATTCACGAACAATTGAACACTGACACACATACACACACACACACACTTAAACTCCAGATGGAGAGCGCTAATCTTTCGAGTACAACTGATGAGTCTCGAGTACAACTGATGAGTCTCGGCTGAGTTCTGCTTGCAAGTCACTCGGTTTCTCTCTAGAGGCGAAAACGTTACCCGAAAGAACAAGAAGCACAAACAGCGCCGCAACCAAGGGGGCCAAAAGGACAGCAACATCACTTTACACATGCAGGTACGCTGGGATGATCAGTCCCAGTATCACCACCGATGGCAAGTGTCTTCGTTGGCAGGAGACTTGCCATGGTGCTCCTGCCCCCTGCTGCACATGGTGGTGACAGGGCATTCTGTCACTCCGCACACACACGCCCCTCAATGAGGGGCGAGAAGTCTCTTTTTCGGCAGGAAGATCACATGCTCAACTTCGTGTCCCTATCGTTGACCAAAATATCCACCGCGGCGAGGGGAACGCGAAACAGCCCTAAGCCGCTCAGAAGACGGGAACGAAAGATCACCACGATGAGCATTACGAGTGTCGCCATAGAAGACTGAAGAGAATTGCAAAGCAGTCGAGCGATCACCGTCAGAAATAGGGGTGGCATAGGTGAACATTTCCTCAACTTGGATTGTGTCGGAATTCTGCACATCACCAAGTGATTCATCACGGGCATGATGTGTAGTAAAGGACTCCCTGCGAGACAGGATGCGTTGGTATCCTTGATGCTGCCAGTCGCGAATGGTCCACGCCTGACTGTGTTCACCAGTCCCACTGGGATCAGTTACCCGCTTCCACTCCCGAAAAGAGTTGTCTGGTAGGTCAGGTACGGTTTCTCCTGGTTGCCATAGCTGAGGCTGTCCTGGAGTATAGATCCGCACCCACTCCTGATCCTGCCAGACCGAGTATTCGAGCCATGGGCACTGCTTCGCATCCTCGATATCCATGCCGAAGTGAGAGACAGGGCGTACCGCGGGTTCAGATCCAGCTAGTAAAGAAACAGTCACCATGCACAACCATGCACAATCAGCAACCAAGCAAGGCAGCACAAGCATGAAAACTACCTTTTTGTACCATGCCCAACACGCATCAGTCTAGTCATCATTTAGCTCGAAGATAGGCTTCTCCTTCGCAGTGGTGCTGCATGATGGAGTCGTAGGCCGGTATGGATCAGAGACCCCAACAGACTCTGGTGGTGCAATTCCACGAGATGCACGTACTGGTTGGTGTTGTTGGGATGCGTGACGCGCGCGATCCGACAGTTGTTGAGAGATCCCATCTTGAAGACGAGTCAGATCCTCAGTGGAGAAAGCCGCCGCATCCGAGGATCCAAGAATCGCATCCAACATTTGCGGTGACATACACAATGCCGAGGATTGCGTGGCCACGTTATGTTGATCAGGAAAAGACATCGAGTCGAAGTCATGACCAGCTTGAGGGGCAGCGACTCTCCGATAGCCCTCTCTACCCAGTCTCTTTTGTACCAAATGCTGTCATTGGGCTGCGCACCGTCTTGATCAGGATTTGCATAGAACTCCTTCCACTCTCTGTATGTGTGAGGTGGAGGTGGAGCATCATGTTCTTCCTGTGGAGTCCATGATCCCGGATGAAAGATCTTGACCCACTGGGCATCTGGTTGTTGAGGATCCGGACACCACTCCATCCACGGCACGCCAACTCAAACCCGTGAAGACAGATTGATATGTGTACGGCTGCAGACAACTATTACTACATGTGACACAACATCAACCATGCAAGCAAACACTTTTGTAGCGAGACACGGCTCAGGTGTCGAAGTCACTTGCCTCAATCAAATCGAATTGAATATCCAGAAAAGACAAGGACGAGCATCAGCCACCATCTGAGTTCGAGGATGCCGACGAAGAGGTCAGTCCAGCGTACATGAGGTCTGGTGAGCCCGAAGCGAAAACTGGACGTGCAATGCTGGGGTGTGGATGGCCGAGCCGTTGATATCCTCTGGTGACCCAGTCCCGATACTGCCAAGTATAGAAGGACGCATATGAGACCGGCTGAGAAACAGAGCCCATATTGGTGCCGCCCGTGCTGTCCCTCAGCCAATACACTTCGAAGTGGTAGACTTTGCGCCATTCCCGATAGGTGGTTGAGTCCTCCGGGGCAGGCCCCAAGGTGTTTTCGGCAACTGGTTGCCACGGACCAGGTACATAGACCCGAATCCATTCAACGCTTGTGCTCGCAGGGCCATTGACGATGTCGTACTCAAAGTAGCGTGGCAGGGTCCATCTTGCAGCGCCATATATTGTAGAATTGAACATATCAGCCAGGTAAGCCGCTCGGGGTCAAAAGGGAAGCGGCGAGAACATGAAGACGGAAAGCACAACACAATCCAAGACAACCCAACTTGATGCCGCAATCAACTCAGGCACACTCGCATCATTTTAACCGACATGTTGCTCAAGTATCAATCCGAATCGTTCCAAGGATCATAGAATGGCGGTGGCGAAGGTTCCCGCCACGCCCCATCCGGAACTGATGACTCCACCGAGGAAGTAGCTTCTACATTCACGAGCGCCGCCGATCCAATGGCTGGTAGGGGAACTCCAAGACGTTGACACCCTCGTGTTTCCCAGTCTCTGTACTCCCACACGTGGTAGGACACATACGAACTGGGCGTGACATTGGGGTCCGCAGCTGTTCCTCCGGTGCTGCCTTCGGGCAAGTACACTTCAAAGTGATATGACTTGCGCCACTCCCGATAAGTGGAAGCGTAGTTTGGGGCACGAACCAGAGTATCTGTGGCTACGGGTCGCCACGCGCCCGGTGTGTAAATTCGAATCCATTCCACTCCTCTCTCGATGTGGTACTCGAAATAGTGAGGGTTCATAGCGGCAAGACAGGTCGTCGCGGGGCCGCTGAAAGAAATCGTAAATCTGCGGCGAAGACACTCATGCAATGACAGCCTGACGCAGCAAGAGTGTGTGAACAAGGCAATGCAAGGCAACTTTTCAAACTGAAGGCGAGACACATCAGCAAGGTCTATAGTATACGACACCTATGCTTCACCGCCGCTGATGCCGCACACACCTGCAATGATAATGTCCTGGTCGTCGACGAGCACAGGGTGAAAGACATTTCCGTCCATGACGTAGGAAGGCATGACAGTAATGCTTGCAACTTGCCAATGGGGACCGCGATGGACGGGTGGCTCGTTTCGAAGGGAGCACGGTGAAGGGTCGCCGAGATCTCCGCGGTGCAGAAGCGGATGCTGTTCGAGAGCGTTTCGGTGAACGCCCTGGACTGCGTAGATCATCATCACGGGACTGGTCAGTGCTGTATATCGAGCGGCGTGTGCGCTGCGATTTCAATGTGGCAGGGCAAGATTGTCCTCGAGGAGAAGGGCTCGAGGAGGCACGCAATGAGGGCATAAACTGTGGGTGTAGAATCACCGGTGGTGGTGGCGGTGGAGGAGGTGGAGGTGGGAGAAGTATTGGGTTGGAGGTGACGCAGTCCATCGAATTGGTCTGTCAAGCAAGGTGCCAGGCCCGTGAAACTGTAACCACGTCGGCTGCGCTCCATGGGTCCAAGTAATGTATGTCTGCACATCTTGCTCCAACATGATTTGAGCAGCTCAGCCATGCATGAAATCCAAGTCATCAACAACATCCACGACAGCAAACAATGTCTTCAGTGGTCGGGATGGCAAGTAGGTCCGTCAAGTCAGTATTGCAAAGCATGTCAGCCATGTCATGCACACAAGCAAGCAAAGAATCATGCGATCTGCCACGACTGCAATCCAAACCATCACGACAACTTGCAACGCTCACAGAATGCACTGCCACGTCTTACGAGCTAGTCCTCCAGCAGTCACTGGTTCTTTTGATGCACGGTGCCCTAAGCGCGAGCCTCAAGTTGCTGGTAGACCTTCCAGGCCTGCTTGACTTCCTCAATGGGCTTCTGAAGGAAACGGGCAATGGTTTTGTAGGTGGGCCTGGAATCCTTGTCCTTTTTCCGTCTAACCATCTCATCCAGCTCACCCTGTGTCCACGCCGTAAAAGGTTCACGGTGTGCATTGCGAAGGGCAATGGTGAATTCTTGTAGAAGTTCCCGAGGTCCATGAACCACCGTGGGAGATGGACGGAACGATGAAGCACCTGGATGTGGACGAACTGAACCATCCGAATCCGAATCAGGTGTGGTAGGCGATGTCTGTCCTGGTTCGCGTCCACTGCGTGGGGGTGGGGGAGCAAGAGGCCTTGGCGGTGGCAATCGATCCAACATTGACTCTGGACGGCGACCAGAAATGCTGTCCGCGGCATCCCGATGTGCCGCACGAGGCGGGGATAAGGCCGGTATATACCAGGTGGAGGAAGTGTCCAGAGGCCGGGTTCGAATTCGAGTAGGAGAGCAAGATCGATCGGACGAGATGCGCTCTGTGATGATGCGAGGGCGCAGTCCGTGCCTGGAGTTCCGTGGGGCCCTAGGAGACACTCGGGTGTCAGACTGCTGGTTTCGCTCGGTCGCCAGGGCAAAGTTCAGGGTGTCCAGAGCAGTCGCTATTTGGGATGCGAGGACATTGAGTACCGCCACCAGCTTGTTCACAAACTCCACTGACAACTGCATGGCAAATGAAATGACTGCAAGGACAAACCAAGCAAGAAAAGCGGCACAGCATAGACCTCATGTTAGCAAAACTTGCGTGCATCGATATGCTGAGGACCTTTCTGGTGGTCCGTCAACAGTCATATGAGAGACCAGATGGCCGGCACGCCGGCATGGCTTGACTGCCGGTGGGTGCTTCGGAGTGAAGGCGCGACGGTGGGACGCGGGACCAGCGTCGGCAGGGCGGCCAAGAGGACGCCTATGGTGACTGCGGCTGCGAGACCGACGCCAATGAGGTTCCCGGTGTCTGGACCTTCTTCTCC